TATATATATATATATATATATATTTATATATTTATATATTTATATTTACAAGACTAAGCTTAAAAAAAACAAAAAGAGTTTTACGGATAAAAACAAAAAAGAAAATGAATATATTTGATGGAGGGAAAAATATATTTATTCCCTATGATTAACCTAGTAATTTGCATATATGATAAGTTATTCTAAGTTTAGTTTATTACGTTATTGTACACTAAAGAAGTGCAAAAATAGAGAATTTTGGTAAGGAATGAAAAATGAACGAGCATGAGAACTTTGAGAAGAAGTGGAGAAGACGTAAAGAAGGGAGGGTAGAAGAAGCTTAGAATATATAATAACAACAATAAATAAAGAGGCACGTAAAAGCGAAGGAGAAACAAAGAATAGAGAAACATAAGAAGGAATAGAAAGTCAGATTAAAATAAAGAGAAAGAAGTGTCCCTGAAAGAGATTGTTGCCCTGTTCTTCAAGTTCTAATCATGTAAGTTTCCTTTGACCTCTCTAACTACACCATTAGGGATAGCAATTTTCAAATGATGCTCACTGAACAAGATTTATGGCATGCTTATATATATATAGATGGATTCCCTTACCATGTTAATTCACTTAATTTGGCTTTTTGTTTCTAACAAGAGTTTTAACATTTGGATTGTGTATATTTTAGTTTAGTATTGTGTCTTAGCCTTTTAACAATATATTTTTGAAATTTGTCAACTTTTCTTCTATGCCACTTTATATGATCATGCAGTATATACAAAGCTTTGTATTTCTGTAATTTTTTTATTTATGTAATTTGATGTTTCTTCTTCTCTTCTCTTCTTTTCTTTTCCACCGGTGTCTATTCATTGGGCAAAGATTATGTACATAATTTTAAGTTTCATCTTCTTTATATTTTAATTAAATAATAAATTATTGTAACTATTATTACTAGTTAAACAATTAAAAGAATGAAGTGCCCCCCTATAAACCATACTATGGCTGTGTCTCTGTACAACATAAATATGTGTATTTTTATGGTGGCATACATTAGTTATGTTCCTTTACTCTTTTATCATGTCCACTTGGCCTATAATAGGCTATAAAATATAATTAACATTCAATGTATGTGTGTGTTCTTTACACTTCAAATTCTTTCTTGACAATGTTCTTGTTTATGTATTTTTTTTTTTAATTTTACGAATTCGACATATTTCTTATTTTAGTAATATTAATATTTCTTTGTATCAAGTTAAAAAAGATATATTTCTTATTATTTTTTATTTCAAATTATGGGGACAAAGATTTCACTAAACAAATGAATTAAAACTCCCCTTTTGAATATATGAAATTAATATTATCCGATAACAAATCAATCTTGCAACTATGAAGCACAAATAAAAAAAAAAACTTTCTAATATTTTTAAAGATTCATCAGGTTGGACAATCATGTGTTTTTATTTTTCAAAATATATTAATTAGAGAAAATCTGATACACCAAATCAACAATGGTATAAAATATTTTTATAGTAATTAAATAAGAAAATTAAAATGATAAAAAAAAGAATAAATTTAATTTATAGTATAAAATTATTTTACATTATTAGCTATTGGAAAACTTCGCTAAAATATTAAACATTGAAGAATGGAAATAATTATATATTAATTGTCTTCAAAATATACAAATATTATCAAAATAATTTTTATTTTTATTGAACTTAAAAAGTTAAATTTATAACATGATTAAAATTTTCGTCTAATTATAAACTTTGTTAAACATTGAAAACAAATAATTATCGAGTGGAATGGTCTTAGAAGTATTATATAATTAAAATATATGATAAATATTTAGGTAAAGTAATCTAATTTGTTTTATCTTATATTTTGATCTTCCAATAGAAGTAACTCAAATTTTATAGATTGGTCTCTTTCTTCTATTAATATTATTTTCCTACCATAACCTTTTGCTCTACCAAAATGACATTGTTTATATTTATGTTGTTTCAGTTGTCATTGTTTTGTCAAATTATTTTGAAATTTAACTGAAATTTATCAAGATGGCTGTGTCTTTTATGATTGTAATGTAATGCATGTTTACAACAATTTAAGGAAGTAAAAGATAATGATTCTTAATCAAAGGTAGTGACAAGTCTTACCAAGTTGTTGAGATAAGTAAAGAATATTACACCTGCAATCCTACAATATATAGAAGTTGTGTGTAGTGAAGTTCTACACGGTTTTCTTCACCATTAATTATTCTTTCATTTTATGTTTACTCATTTTTTTTTAAAATTCAAATTTAAAATATGTATTTTTCTTATTTTAAATTTTATTTTCTTTTTAATAGATTTAAATATTTTAAAAATCATTATTTTAATATATTAAAAATTTTAAATATATTTATAAATAAAAAATATTTCAATTCAATCATGTGAAACATAAACTTGATTCGCGTTATCCTAATAATATAATTATCATGATAGAGTGAAATTAAATGTGTATCTTAAATTTAGTCTTTTTTTTTTTTTTAATGAAATTATGTTTACTAAATTATTTAAAATGATATAAGTTTAGTTAATATTTTTAAAAACAAAATTAAAGTTATGTTCATTAGTTATTTTGAAAACTTATTTTCTTTTGAGCTTTCTTTTAAATTTTTATTAAAAAAAAGTAATAGGAGACATAATTAAAATAAATGATAAATATTTATAATTTTATCGATAAATAATGAGAAAAATAATTATATGAATAGCTTAAAATTTATATCAATAAAAAAATTATATCAATAGATAAATTAGTTTAAAAATAATTTATTTTTCATTTTAAGATAAAATATATATAACAATATTTTAAAATAAAATATATATAAAGATACGAAATATTTTAACCTCATTAATATTTATAATGGGGTTTACTAAACTCTCAAACCCCTAAACACTAATAATAATTAAGTATTTCAGTAGTGATCTTTTGTTTCATTAACTATTTAAAATAGATTCTCATCTTCATGTAATCTGCATAATCCCTTTCACTCCCCTCATTCTAAAACAGTGAAAAAAAAGCCAAAATTTTAAATTTAAAAATGAAAGCATTCCACGAACAATCTTCCCCTCTAATTTCTTAAAGGCACGCTCAACAATTAGTAAGGCAATACGCTCATTATGCATTCTGTGTTTAGAATTTCATATAAACATTTTTAAAAGAGAAAATAAAAAATAAAAAATAAATAAATTTTCTTCATAAATTAATTAAATTAATTTATAGAAATTAACTCTTATTAATTTTTCAAATCTTAATTTTTAATTTATACATAAGTTAATTTTAATTTATAAAAAATTTAATTGTTTCAATTTTTTTTCTTATTTTCTTCTCCTCAAAATACTTTTGAATACGTTTATCTAAACATGTCCTTAGGCTATTGTTGTAAGTGCCGGCAACTAGCAATACACATTTTTTATTAATTAAAATTTATTAAAAAATATAAAGTTATGATATAAAAAAAGTTCTTAGTTAGATAAATTTATTAAAAAATATAATTATGATATAAAAAAAGTTCTTAATTAGATAAAGTGTATTGCCCACCAAATTTAATGACTTTTCAACAAATTTCAACAAATAAGTTCAAAAGATTGAATTATATAAAGAAGGTTTAATACATCATTTACTCTTTGAACTTTTTAAAATTTTTAATTAGTTTTTAAACTAAAATAATTATAATTAAGTCCTTCATTTTTTAATATAATTTTTTTTTGTAATTTAATTCCTTCAATTAAATATTCATTTACAATCCATAAAATTTTACAAAATAATTTAATATTCGTATACCTAGACGATCACATTAAGTTATTAGTGTCATCATTTATATATATATATATATATATATATATAAATTAGGAAAAAATAAATATTAAAAAAATATTTTTTATTTGAGGATTTATTAAGAAAATAAAAAATATTTAAAGGTGGAGAAGATATAATTGGTGTTTATATATATCAAATTTCATATATTAAAAACAAGTTTTTAACCTTAGAGACTAAATTACAAAAAATAAAAAAGATGAAAGACTTAATTATATCTTTTTTTAGTTTAAAAACCTAATTAAAAAATCTTTAAAATTTAAAATGATGTGTTAAACCTATAAAAAATGTGTTCCTAACAATTTTTTTCTTATTCTAATGCCATGGAATTGAGGACTATGCGACAAAATTTAACTAAATAAAATAGGGGTTTTTGTTTTTTGTGGGGCCAATGCTTGTGATTTTTCTTTTGTTTGGAAATTTATGAGTTAAAAATGTAAAATGCAAGAGAAAAAGATAAAAATAAAATGTACTTAAGAAAGAAAATATATAAATTTAAATGCAAAAGAAATATTCACTAGTATTTTTATTTGATAAAAATGTAATGAATAATTTGAATAAATAACTAAAGAGTTAAAATTATCGGACAGTATCTACAATTAATAGCTAATATTGGCATTCGGAACATTCTTGATGTTTTTTTTTTCTGTCTATGCTAATATTAAACTAATTTTTGTCTACACTTGGAATTCTTGGTGCAAAAAGTTCTTTCATATTAACATATTTAAAAGTTAATTTTAAGTTATAGAAAAAAATATATTTTTATTTTTTTATAAATTAGAAATTTATAGGAACCAACTAGTGGATGTGTCATTATTATTATCTTTTGCCTCTTGGTTCCTTAGGAAATTTAATGATATTTACAAATATTATACTTGATCTAACTACCATATATTGGTTATACGTGGATCAGTTACCATACTAAGAAATTATAGTGAAAATGGAAGGACAATCAAGTGGTTCACAGAATGAACAGCAAAATTTGGAGACAGAATTGACTAATATGCTTCAACTAGTGGTTCCTATTGGAAAATCTTAAATTTCTAGAGATTCCGAGAAATCCGAGATATCCGAGATATCCGATTTAAGTTATCTGGAATTATTTGATTTATCTTTTGAGTTATTTTGTTTCAGATTAGATAAGATAGTTTTTTGATAAGTTTTGATTTGATAAGATATTTTATTATCTTCTTGTTAGTTCAGTACGTTGTAAAATGGCTATTTAAAGGCCATCTCTTATTCAATAAAAAATATAGTGAGTTGCTACGTTCACCCACAATATTATTATTACCTTGTCTCTCTTATTTTTCTACGGTTCCTCCACAGAGTATTTCAAGACGTGCTGAACGATGCATTTTTAGAGTGCCAGAAAGGCTTCGTAAATCCAATTCGCAAGCCTACACTCCTCGAGTTGTCTCCATAGGCCATTTTCACAAAGCAAACTGTGCTTTGGAGCCAATGGAAGAGGTTAAACTAAAATATCTCAAGGCATTTCTAAATAGAACTACACTATGTGTGGGCCATTTTGTTGTCAAACTTCAAGAGTTGGAGAACAAAATTCGAAGTTTTTATGCAGAGCCTATTGACTATAGCAGCAATGATTTTTTAAAGATGGTTCTAATTGATACTAGCTTCATAATTGAATATTCTCTTAGATATTATGAAGGGGGAGATTGGTGGGAAAATGACCCTTTGCTCTTAAATCAATTTCTGCGAGAAATTATTTACTATGACTTGATTCTACTAGAAAATCAACTTCCTTATTTTGTTCTTGAAGACATTTACAACCTCACTGGTATGCATCTTAAATTTCGCTCCTTTCATGAGATTATTTTTCGCTTCTTTCATGATTCCAACAGCCAAGGGAAAAATGTAGGAGGACTAAGAGAGTACCCAAAACACTTCCTTGATCTTATAAGATATTTTCAGTTACCATCATCATTTGATCTTGAAGCATTAGAAACGAATATGGTCGTTGGACATCTATACAGTGCAAGCCAACTATCAGGCGCAGGTCTTGAATTCACTGCCGATACTGCAAAAGGCCTTGGTTACTTAGACTATCATGAGGGCGAGTTAATAATTTCAAGCTTTTTGGTGAATGAATTCACAGAAATACTCATCAAGAATATAATGGCCTATGAGTTTTGTCATGAACAAACTCAAACCACCTTTTCTCAATGGTTAAAGATTATGGATTTTCCAATTCACCAAGAGAGTGTGTGGTGTTTAGAAGCTTTCCTCACATAGGTCAAGAAGAGACCAAAACCCAAGAGTACAAGAGGCCAAGGAAGAAAAACTAAAAAATCACAATTAAAAAAAAGGCTAAACTCCACAAAAAAAATTTCACAATACTTATGTGTGTGCACGGCCCCCTAGTAGGCAACTTGTAGCCTTATAAAACAAAGCAAGGAAGAATAAAGAACCTAAGCAATTATACTACCAAAGCCATAAAGCATGCAATAAGGCAATTAAAGCATGTGCTAGTCGGATTCCCTAGGGTGGGAACTTGAAGTGACCTTGGTGGTATTCAAGCCACTCCCACAAGCACTACTCAAATTACCCTAAGACTAAGAGGTTTAAAAAGGCCATTTACAAACCAAAATGAATGAATAGAAAGGCAAAAAACACAAAAGGCCGAGAATTGAACAAAAAGAAGCAAGTAGGAAAGAAAATTTGCAAGTCTTCAAGTCTTCAATTCTCCACCCCCTTCACAATGAACACCCAAGGTTAGCCTTTCAATGGTGTATGCACTCTTTGATTTGGTGTAATCCTCCAAAGCACCTTGAACTCAATTTGGACAGCCCCTCCACTCAATTCACCAAGAGAGTGTGTGGTGTTTAGAAGCTTTCCTCACATAGGTCAAGAAGAGACCAAAACCCAAGAGTACAAGAGGCCAAGGAAGAAAAACTAAAAAATCACAATTAAAAAAAAGGCTAAACTCAAGTGGAATTGATGAGACAAACTTAAGAGTAGAAAGAAGACATAAAACTAAAATTAAGGCACATTAAATAAAGGCAAACACTCAAAAGATTAAGTCATAAAATGGCACTAGAATGGAATTCAATCAAATAGGTCTAAAATGAATAATGCACTTAATATGTTTGATAAAAGGTTTTATACAACCATACAATTTTTGTTCAAAGGTCCAAGAATAACTCCATTGCTAAGATAGGAAAATTTTGGTCCCAAAATTCACAAGTCTAGCAAAGGTTCCCTTTTTACTTGTTTTTAATTCTTTTGTTGCTTTTCACTTGTTTATGACTCATTTTTTTTCTTTAGAACAATGTCCAGCCACTTTTCCTTTTTTTTTTATATTAAAGTTCTTCCTTTGCTTGGGTTTTACACTTGTGTCCAAAAAATGAATTAGCAAAATTTTAGGAGTATCCTTTTAATATCTTGTGATGGCTTAATGAGACAATAACTTAAGTGATTTTTAAAAATTTTAATGTGTGTAGACACCCAATTTCGTCCAGGGGCATACAAACAAGGAAATGGACCTCTGTTATGAAGGGAAAAAGCTCAAAAAGCTTGAAGACAACTCGACATGACAACAAGGAAGCTTGAAGCCCGAGAAAGTTTGTTTTAGTAGCCCAGAACAGACTGTTCCAAAATTAGAATGGGCCGTTTCTAAGTTGGAACGGGCCATTTCCAGGCTGGAACAGATTGTTCCTAAACCAGAACGAGTCGTTCCGATCTGTTAAAAAGGCCTAAAACCCTAGCTTGGAATGGGTCGTTCAAACACAGGTTGTTATGAGTAAAATTCAAACCCAGAACAGGCCATTCCAATTCTGGAACAGGTCGTTCCAGATTTATATTTTACCTATGACGGACTGGCCCAGAATGGACCATTTTGAATCTGGAATGGGCCGTTCTGGTCAGTTCCAACGTCTATAAATAGACGACTTGGGCACTACTCCAAGGGTGAGAAAATCAATTCAGAACTCTTTATAGCTCGAAAATTCTCTCTTTCTCTCTTTGTTTTTTTTGTATTTCTTGAGATTTTTGTGAGGCATATTATAGTGTGAAAGGTTGCCACAAAACACCTAAAAATCTCCATATTTGAAGATTCAACAGAGCTCGTTCAAAAGGTATTTCAGTCAATCTTCTTCTCTCCCTTTTATTTCTTGTCTTTGATAAATATCGTTATAATAAAAGCAATCATGTAGACATTATAGAGTGAATTGTGTAATTTAAATTTCAAGCATGTAAATAGTCATTAATAAAGGGGTTTAAATATATAACTTATTAATTCTTACTATGCTGACTTCATCATAAGGGTACCGATTAAGGGCATTGTAGGGGTGCTTAATACCTTCCCTACTGGTGGTATTCAAGCCACTCCCACAAGCACTACTCAAATTACCCTAAGACTAAGAGGTTTAAAAAGGCCATTTACAAACCAAAATGAATGAATAGAAAGGCAAAAAACACAAAAGGCCGAGAATTGAACAAAAAGAAGCAAGTAGGAAAGAAAATTTGCAAGTCTTCAAGTCTTCAATTCTCCACCCCCTTCACAATGAACACCCAAGGTTAGCCTTTCAATGGTGTATGCACTCTTTGATTTGGTGTAATCCTCCAAAGCACCTTGAACTCAATTTGGACAGCCCCTCCACTCAATTCACCAAGAGAGTGTGTGGTGTTTAGAAGCTTTCCTCACATAGGTCAAGAAGAGACCAAAACCCAAGAGTACAAGAGGCCAAGGAAGAAAAACTAAAAAATCACAATTAAAAAAAAGGCTAAACTCAAGTGGAATTGATGAGACAAACTTAAGAGTAGAAAGAAGACATAAAACTAAAATTAAGGCACATTAAATAAAGGCAAACACTCAAAAGATTAAGTCATAAAATGGCACTAGAATGGAATTCAATCAACAGGAAATATGGAAGAAATTTGTGCCATAACTTTACACTTACCAATACAGAAAAGGATGTCAACATACTAATTGATAAGAAAATTATTACCAACTGGATAGGTGACAAAAATGTAGTGCTTAATCTGTTTAACAATTTGGGCTTTATTGGTATGCCATATTTCAATTCAAAGTATTTATCAATTTGCAAAAGCTTAAACAGCTTCTATGAGAATCCTTGCAACCAATACAAGATTACGTTAAGACGTGAGTACTTCAACACTCCTTGGAAAACAGCATCTACCGTTGCTGCTATTGTGCTACTTTTGCTCACCTTGATTCAGACTATATGTTCAATCATCCAATTATTTTAAGGTGATAATTTTATGCTGTAACACTATGTTGTATATATGCTCTATATGAATGTTTATGTGTTGTATGTTGTTTTATGATGTTTTAAGTTGTGTTATGTTGTATGTTGTTTATGAGAGCTCTAAGGATTAAAGAATTTTTATGAGTGAGGTTGTCTAAAATGATGTCAAAGTTAACTAAGAACTGGTGAAAGTATATAAGGTTTTAGGAAAACACAAATTTCATAAGTTCATTTTCTATAAGTTCTAGAGATAAGTTTTTTCTAGAACTAGAGAAAATTGATCTTCATTTTGATTCCACCAAAAGCTTTCTTATCCTTCCTCGAGATTGAGATTGAGTAGTAGAAGTAGATATTTGAGCTAAAGAACATGGAATCCTTGAGAGAAGTCGACCCTTAAGGGTCCTATTATTCTTCCTTTATTCCTTAATTCTCTTCTTTCTAGAAATAATTGAGGAAAAGGAAGTTTGTATATTAATCTTTCTTAAGTTGTTTGTATAGATTTTTGTGTTGTCTTGCCTATTAGTGACATTTTGAGATGAATTTACTGATGTTTAATGTTGTTGGTGAATGTGGGGTTTGGGCTTTGAAGAATCTAATCCAATGGTTTGATGATCTCTTGATATGTGATGAATGCATGTGTTGCTTGAGATGATTTTCATGTTATGATTGTTGTTTGGAGTTGGAAAGGTGGTTTGCATATTGGTTATGTGGTGGTGGCGGGTGGATGAACTAGGTAGAACACATGCATGTAAGTAGTGCTTTGCGTTCTTGCTAGGCAAAATGGTTTGCTCATTTGATGAGCCTTCAAAATTAAAAAAAAAAAAGACAAGAAAAGAAAATGCATTTTCACTCAACAACCCCACAAGTTGCTCAACGAGAATATACATTGAAGAAGTTGAAGCTTTTGTGGGTGATCTTGATGGATATAATAATTTATTACCCTATTATTACCACCCAGAGAAGAAAGGTTCTTCTATATTGTTGGTTTGATAGAGTTAAGTCACTTAAATTAATCACTTGTGTCATAGGATATATTCTAAGTTGAAATGTGTGACAACAAATAATGATGTTGAGTTTTTTTCAGTTAAAAGAGATGATTCCATTAATTTGTTTCTTACTAATTATAATACTTTATTACCCTATTATAGAGATACATTTGTCCCCAAAACAAGTAAGTATGAAAATAAACAAAAATAAAGGAAATAAAGAACTATTATAAAATAATATCAAGTCTACTAAGATACTTTTATTTACAACACTTACCCTCAAGTTGATAAATAAATATCGGTCATTCCTAACTTGTCTATTAGCTCTTGAAATCTACTATTAGGAAGTCCCTTAGTAAGTACATATACAACTTGGAGTCTAATAAGGACTTGAGCTATAATAATAAGACCACTATCTAACTTCTCTTTGATGAAGTGTTTGTCTATCTCAATATGTTTGGTCTTGTCATGTTAAATTGGATTGTGAGCAATGTTGATGGTTGACTTGTTGTCACAAAATAGCTTCATAGGAGCTTTATGTCCATTCTAAGGTCATCAAGGATAATCTTCAGCTATAACCCTTCACATATGCCTTGTGTTGAGGCTCTAAATCCAACTTCTACACTAGACTAAGCAACTACATTTTGGTTCTTACTCCTCTAAGTCACCAATTTCCCCCAAGAACATGTAGTATCCAGACTAACCCTACATACTCTACATCAATATAAATCTCCAAAGACATGGTGTCTTATCTTCTAAATAGTAATCCCTTCCTTGTACTTGACTTAAAGTACTAAAGGATCCTGTCAATTGCATGCATATGCCTTTCTCGGGGATAATGCATGAACTGACTAACTACACTCATAACATAAGCAATGTGTTGTATAATATGTGATAGGTAAATTAGCTTCCCTACCAATTTCTGATATTGATACTTATCCACTGTCAGACTTTCTTTACTTCCAATTTTGTGATTCTATTCAATTAGAACTCTTAAGGACTTATATCCCAACGTTCTTGTTTTTTTTAAGAAGATCAAAGACATATTTTATTTGAGAGATAAATATGCCCTTCTTGGAATAAGAAACTTCAATTCCCGATAAATATTTCAACTTCCCCAAGTCTTTCATCTTAAACTATGTTTCCAACATTTTTTTAGGGTCAATTTTTCTTCTTCATCATCACCTGCAATGATCATGTCGACTACGTAGACTAAAAGTATTGTGAGGTTTCCATTAGGGGAGTGTTTTATGAACAAAGTATGATCACCTTAGCCTTGTTTGTATCCCAAGGAAATCATTACCTCTTAAACCATGCTCGTGAAGACTGCTTGAGTCCATACAAGACCTTTTTTAATCTATATATTTTGTTTTCTTTATTTGAATCTCCAAATCCTAGGGGAATTTTGATATAAACTTCTTCTTCTAAATATCCATGCAGGAAGACATTTTTTTTACATCAAATTGTTGTATATCCCAACCAAAATGAGTTGCAAGAGAAAGTGTAGTCCTACTATATTGATCTTTGCCACTAGTGCAAAGGTCTCATAGTATATCCCATAAGTCTGTGTGTACCCCTTTATTACCAATCTTGCTTTGCATTTGTCTATTGTCCCATCAGCTTTGTACTTCATTGTGAATATCCATCTACACCTAATAACCATTTTGTTTTTGGGTTTGTCTACAATTTCCTACGTTGAGTTTTTTTCCAATGCCTTCATTTCTTCTTTCATAGCTATAATCTAATGCTTCTCTCTAATAGCTTCTTAGACTGAAGTTGGGATATATATTGAATCAATGGCAATAATGAAACTTTGATGCTAAGCAGAGAAATGGTCATTATAGACATATTGTGAAATAGGATATTTAACACAAGATTTTTTCCTTTTCCTCAAAGCAATAGGAATATCATCATTAACACTTACTTTCTCCAAATTATTACCTTTAGGATCACTCACCTCTAGGTCAAACAATTTCTCTTGTTATGGAATTAAGGTGGATTTTTTCTTCCTTAGATATTTTATGCCAAAGAATTTATCTTTTTTCTCTTCCTCTTCATTTTTTGGACATCTTGTAGAGACAAAAATGGTAATAAGTCTAAGACTCGCCTTCGAGTTCTAAAATTTTCTCCTATTAAAGTTGAGGATAAACAAAGAATGACTCATTTTCATAGAAAGTGACATCCATGGAAATAAAGAATTTATGACTTTGGGGATGATAACATTTTTACCACTTTTATTTGAAAGGTAACCAACAAAAATACATTTGATTGCCCTCAGACACAATTTACCTCAATGAGGACAATACAAACAAACAAAATTAACACAACCACAAACATGACAGGGTAAACTTGACATCAAAGGGGAAGAAGGAACCAATGACTGTAACAATTCAATAGGCTTACACCATTAAGGAGTCGAGTGGGTAACCATTTATAATAAAGGTGGAAGTTAATTAAGATAGCTTCTCCTCAGAAAGCATTGGGAACAAACATTTGAAAGATTAAGGCTCTAACAACTTATAGGAGATGACAATTTTTCCTTTTTGCAACCTCATTTTGTTGAGGGGTATTAACACAAATAAGTTCATGTAAAATACCATTATCAGTGAAAAATTTAGACAAATCATTATTCACATATTTAGTACCATTATCAAATCTTAATCTTTTTTATGGACCTATCAACCTAATTTTTAACAAAATGGAAGAAATTGACAAATATTGGACCAACATCATATTTATTTTTCATAAGATATGTTCATGTTACCCATTTAAAATCTTCAATAAATATCATAAACCATTTTGCATCAGAGATAGATTCCACAATGGCCACACATTAGAGTGCATTAAATCAAAAGGGAAAAAACTCTTATTACCACTAATTGGAAAAGATGAAAAATGGTGTTTATACAATTGGCAAACATCACAATTAAATGAATAAACGAAAATTTTATAAGCAAATGCTAAAACAAAGATTTAATAAGACTAAAAGGAGGATGTCCAAGCCTCCTATATGTTGAAGTCATATTTGAGAGGTGACCCAAGTATCAGTCTTCGCATGATGGCTTGAGGTTGACTCCATGTTTTGTCACTATTCCTTTTTTCTCTAGGAATTATAACCCACACTATTCTTTAGCAATTAAAATCGCCTGCCCCGTGACCAAGTCCTGAAAGGAATAATGAGAATGAAAAAAATGTTACTTAATAATTCAAGTCTATAGTGAGCTTTATGTATAAAGATAAGATTGTTAGCCAATTTCGAGAAATGTAAGACATTATGTAAGAAAATAAATGACTCAAGTTAAATACTGCCAAAGCCAATAATTAATGAGAACGTTATCTCCATTAGCAATTGTAATGAATTTTTTGGCTTTTATTTGGAAATATGATGTAAAGAGTGAAGGAAAAGGGGTCATGTGATATGTTGCTCCAGAATCAATAATCCAAACTCCCTGAGAAACAAAGATAGAAGTAATGAAAGTACTTTTATCCTTCATTGATAGTGTACATGAGTTAGAGGACTTACTCATAGATTCAATCAGCATCCTTAGATGATCAATATCTAGCTTACATGTTGTAATATCCCATTCAAATTGAAAAGGAGGGAAGTTTGCATCACCCATGGATGAACTCAAAAAAATAAACAACATGAGAGAGACAAAGAACCCAAATCTACATTAAACAAGAAGGATGTAGATGCTCTTTTTGGATCACTACTAAATCCAATAACACCAGCGCCAACGTCGATAGTGGAAAAGGTGACAAAAACTCTGATTTTTCTAATTTTAGGGCAAAAAAAAAGAGCTTTCAAGATTAGGAGCTCTGATACCAAGTTAAAAGAGAGGATTTTATTTATTTTTTTCTTACTAATTACATTCTTCTTTTTCCCTATTATAGAGATAGATTTGTTCCTAAAATAGGTAACTATCAAAAAACAAAAAAAAAAAGAGTAAAGGAAATAAGGAAAAATTATAAAATAATATAAAATCTCCTACAATCCTCCTATTTACAACACTTT